TTCCACAGGGAGCTGTCAAAAGCTGCACTCATTTCAATCTCTTCATCAATGACATAACCGAATTAGTGCAGACAGTCAAGGCCATCAAGTGCTTACTTTATGCAGATGATCGTTCTATGGTATTCTGCCCCAAAAAACGCCCANCTCAAACTAAGTTGTCATTAACTTGGAGGAAGTATTGCTAGACTGATTATTTGACAGTGATGAAGTAATTATTGTTAGTCAAAATGTTGACAAGGCATGCAAAATCGTCTTTGCTATACTAACCCTTTGAAGTTTTTTCTAATTCTTATGGAGTTCACGATAGACCTACCTCCAAGCGATGTACCCAGGATAACGTAACCTCCTAAAGCAAAAAAGTCTATTTATCGTCATTTTGACTTCTTTCTATTATGATTAGTTTGAAATAAAGCTATAGAGTAATCGATCTCGTCAGGGCGAATCACTATGTCTGCAGATCCTCCAGTGGAATGCTGAAGGGATGTCACAGGACAAAAGATCCAAGACCAGAAAATCCTATATGCCTTTGATATAGACATGTTCACAATAATGGAAGAAAATCTTTCGGATATAGAAATGAAATACTACTTCCCAGTTTACAACCTGTACCTTATATATAAAAACGGGCAGGTTGCAAGTGGAATTCTGACTGGAGTAAAAGAAGGCCTCACATCACATTACGAACTTATCATGAGTATGGTCTCATCGCACTACATATGCGAAATAATCAGATTAAATGTTTGGAAATGTCAAAAGCACTTTAAGATTTATGCAATCTAAAATTTACCCCAGAATAGCCCCAACTTTGAATTTCTGAACATTTCACACAGAACTGTAGTGTAATGAGACTTCAACGCATATTCTAACCGATGGAGCTATATGAGTGGAATCTTCATGCAGATGAACATGTTCTACGGTATTTTGCCCTTTAGAAAAACACTCAGGAAAGGAACGAATGTGTCCTAAATGGTGCACTTAAACTACTTGGAAACTTGAGGGGAAATAATGGAATGGCAATCAACAACACAAAAACTGCATTCCAAACACATTTTTGGACTGTTACAGCATGAACCCGCTTTTAAGGTACAAGGATACTACCATAGAAAAAACCAATGAGTTCACATATCTCGGAATGTCGTTTAATACAAAGCTAACGTAAAAATTCACATTGCTAAAATTGCAGAACGATTCTCTAATAGACTAAATGTACCAAGGCATCTTGCTGGTAGCGAATGGGACTGTGCACGCTCAACTCACAATACCACTTGCCAGATGATTATTCAGCCAATAATGTTGTTTTGGTGAGAGACACTCATTACAGCCACAGGGGTGACTCTCAAACGTCTCGAGAATGCAAACAAATTAACATTACGACTAATTACAATAGGAATAAAATAAGCACTATTGATGTAATGCTCCTGGTTNATGCAGATGATCTTGTTCTATGGTATTCCGACTCCAAGAAAAACGCCCAGGAGAGAATGGAAATTTCCCAAACTAAGAAAAACGCTAAGGAGAGGACAGAAAGTGCTCTTAGGTGTGCACTTAAACTACCAGAACTGGTGCGACAACAATGGAATGGTAATCAACACCGCAATACTGCAACAACAATGGAATGGTAATTAACACCGCGAAAACTGCATTACAAACTTTTTCTTTGGCTCATCACAGCACAAACCCCTCACAACATTTTCTTTGGCCCATCAGAGCATAAACCCGCTCTTGGGTACAAGGATACTACCCTAGAAAAAACCAATGAGTTCACTTATCCCGGAATGACGTTTG